GTTTCCTTCCCAGAAGGAGGGGAAAGAAGAAAAACAGAAATGACACTTTTATGAAATATACAGTCAACCAATAGGAAAGAGTGTAAGCCCAGGAAACAACAATCTCAATTTCAAGAATGCCCATATGATACATGGCAATATCATGTCTTAGGATTCCAATTACACAACATTCTTCAACTTCCTTTTAAAAGAACAATGTCTAAACAGAGAATTATGAAAATGATCATGTTTCAAGTTTCACTAGATAGCATACACACTCTATTACATCACTAAGAACAGCTGCAAAAGAAGTCAAAGGAAATAAAATGTCATGTATATTAATTAGATAGACTTCTATACCAATTTAAAAGAAGCACAGAATAGCACAATATTTTAAAAACAGAGAAACTAAATAAGCATCAGTCTCAAAGTATTAAAAGCACTGATTTTTTTCCCCACATGTTTAATGACAATAGAGAAAAAATTGCTCAAAAAATGTACTGCAATGTACTAAAAAATTCTGTTGAAACGTATTTTATCATTAAAAAAGCAGCTTTCTGCAAAAAGCATGGGGGAGAACACAGCTATCATTAATTTTTATTTCTTGCATCAATCTAACATGAAATCAGATCAATTCATAAGTCTTTCTGAAATAGCCCCTTACTATACATCATGATCTTGCATCACATCAGAGAATGCTGATACAACTTATCTTGGATCAGCCCTGATTTTCAGAATTTAAAATAGGTCAAAGATATCAAAAAGGCTTAGCTGGGAGCAAATCAAATTACTACAGTAGAAAAAAAGAATTCTGAACGAAAAGCAATTGTTGGGAGAAAAATATCTCTGAAGAAATGACATGTTCTGTTGATAAAACGGAAATCTATAAAAATGTGAAGCAAGTGAGTGGAAGATGTAGTTAAGTAATGTCATAAAACAAACCAGCAGTGAATATAGGGGTTTGAGATACAGTAGCTTTGGCTTATCTAAGAACAGTCAAGAATGGTCCAGGAGTTAAGAATGCTTCTACTTGCAGGGGCATGGGTCCAATCCTTGGTCAGGGAACGGCAAAAAAAAAAGAAAAGAAAAATGTACTTAGTGAGACGTCACACCCGTTCCCACTTCCCACCATGGTTCACATTACCAATCAGAGAAACCACTCTCTACTTTCACAATAACATACAAAATATTTAACAAGTGAGAAATCTGTCTTATGAAATTTTCTTATGGTAGTAAGAATATATTCAACAATGTATAAACATATGGTTCTGTGAGGATAGTTATTGCTTAAAGTTATTGCTTAAAATTGACAGAGGACTGTGCTCCCTGCAGAATAAATCTAGGTTATACTTTCAAGTATTTTTTTATGTATGTTATAGAACAGTACAGACAGTAAGCTTAGCTAATTAAAAATATAAGATACATGTCATAACTTGTTTGGTTAGTGGTCTATAGTATTTTAAAATATATATCTTAGTTACTAACAGTTTTAAGAGAAGAGAAAGGGAGGAAAGAAGAGAAAAGGAGGAAGGAAATAAATTATTTCTCCTAAAGTACGGTTTTCAATAATGTATCAGCAATTTTTATAACCTCCTTTAAAGGTAGGAACTTTTAACAAACTCAGTCTGCTGAGTTTAGAAACCTTAAGTTCACCCTGATTAGTTAAGTTTTACCTAGAACATCAATGCCCTTCCTCATCTCTCTTCCCAGATACCTTTTCATCCCTCTCATTCTCCACACACACCACACACACACAGTGTTTTAATTCAATTACTAGTTTAAAACAAATCCAAAAGGGACACTAACTATAGCACAATAAATGGTAGAAAGAATAAAAATACCCTGCATGCCAAATAAATCAAAGAGACATAACATTTACTGGCTACATTCCCCAAACCATCCTGGTTCCAAATAAACCAATGGTGTCAGGTCTGGGCAGAAGTAGCTCCAAAACTTCGTGGAGAGTTTACTTCTCTCAGTAATTCTGGAGGAGAGCAGGAGGTGGAAACAAGCCTAGTCTTAAAATCCCAGTGTAGTAGATGTCTAGGCTTTTCAGAGGTATTATACATCATTGCCCATCTCCAGAGACACCAATTGGATAAAGAATCTGATTCTAAGTTTCCTCAATGCAACTTCCAAATCCACAGGTATGATTAAACATACCGATTAACCTTCACCCTAAGCTTTAGTTTCAGACTGCAGGAACTCTCATAACTGGTCAACATTTGGATCTACACTAGTCTACTAGAGTGGAGTTCAAGAGTGTTGATACAAATTTTAGTTTAAAACTCTTTAAAAAGAAAAAAAACTATTTTATAGTCAATTTGGTCTTCTATACCACGTCAAAAAAAAAAAAAAAAAACTAGGTTCACAAGGATCCTTAGAAATAAGGTTCACCTGGGGTAGATATAGGCTGAAGAGAATCCCAAAGTGTATGTACGATACTTCAGCAACTCACCAGATCTTCATCAACTGGTGGGGGAGGAGTCCAGTGTTTACCTCATTTGGGGAATTTGCCAGTACTGTTATTGGATAATGCATACACAGCAGTTATCAAAGTTGTGCTTTGCCACAAAAGGGAAGACTTAACACCAGAGTAAATCCAAACATAAAATTATTCTTAATCAAAAGATAACCTACAATTGTGTACACTGCAAGCAACTTTGTTATCTTTTACAACTATGTAATTCACTTGATAAATATTTAAGCCATAAAGAAGAGCTGCACTGTGCATGTTTCTTTTTTAAAGACCATGTAAAAGTTATCTTTAACAAGCTAAGAAAACAAGGGAAAGAAAGTCCCAAACCTATGGTATCAAATTTACGCTGATTACAAAATGGTGATTTAGACCACCTGATCTGGAAACCACAAATGTCTATAATTAAATAGGGCAGCCCTGCTTCACTCTTTTAGCAAAACAGTCTCACTGAATGATGCATCACAAAAAAGACATTATTATAAGAACTACAGCCCAAACAAAACTTTACTCTCAAATGGAATATAATTTAAACTGCAAATACCAGAACCAAGAAAAAGGAAAAACATATACAGGAAACCTCATAGCCCACCTTTCTTCTTGACTGGCATTCTTGGGTCTTTCCAGTGCCACAGGATTCAAGAACTCTTTTCAGGTCTCAACTTGATCCAGCTGGATGGAGGCCAAGGGCCAGGTAACTGTTGCAAACCCCTTGGCTGTTTGAAATCCAGGCTGTCTTCTCTTTCAAATAAAGAAAAAATGATGTATTTTTTTCCACAAACTTTGACAGTGCCCAAGGAGTTTAAAGAAAAATAGCTTTTGAGTTTTTCAAGTTTTTCAATGCTTCCAAAATAGTTACTCTGTTTAAAAAGAAAATTATTGTAAGCATAGAAAACATTATTAAAACTCCTCCTTAAGCAGCAATATCTTTGGAGTTCAATGACTAACTCAATTAAGGCACAAAAAAAATTTACACAGCTGTCTCATTACTCAACACATGATCAAAGATGAACTGGTTGGTGATAAAGACCCTCAAATTCTTTAGAGAAAAATTTAAAACCCTTACCTCCCCAAAAATACTTTTTAAAACCTCTCTAATGGTCTCTAAAAAACGTGGGTTGAGTTTGGACAGTTTTCTGGGGACAGAACCCAGACTGAAAGGCCCTTTTCTATTTACTGGACCTGAAGTTCCGGATCTCACCCCCTCAGTGAGACAGGATCCAGCTTGCTGTCACTTTCATTTTTTTTTTTTCTTCTGTGCTCTCCAAGCCCCTCAGGCTTGATCCTTAATGCCCCTCTGATTCTGATCCTCCCGTGTATTAACCGAGAGGATTGAAAAGAAGGAAAGCAATCCCTTGGCATGGAGACATTAAAGTGACAGAGCTACTCAATGGGCACTTGATGCAGGATGAGTTGGCGAAGATTTCTTCACACTGGAGTCAGTCAAATCATGCCATCTCTTCGCATCCAGGCAGCTCCCTATCCGGCGAGGAAAAACACTGAGACTGCTCGAGACAAGTCAGACCTTCCCCCAAAGGTGTTTTCTCAGACGCTGGAGTAGTATTAGGCATGTGAGCATAAGCTGGGCAAACGGTTCGCGGTTTCCTAAATGGGAGAGAGTTCGGCTGCGTGGCTTCCACATCCACCTTTTTTCTCTCGGTCTCTCTCCAAACTACCCACCTTCCTTTCGCAGAAAAGACCAGAAATCCCTCTGCTACCGCTGGCCACCCCTCTGCCCACACCCCGTTCTTATAAAGATGAGCACAGAAACGTCCCGCACCCCTCCACGCGATGGAGTGTTTCCTCAGGCAGGAGAAACAGCAGCACTAGAAATTATATAACTCGCGAGTCTGGCTTCTCTAAGACGCGGAGCCGGGAGGGTCGGGGGTTGCTGGTCTGGGAGGAATTGCCGGGCCTTCGCGCAGCGCCCCCCTCACCCCCACCCCGAAACATCGGCTGGCAAGGCGGGGGGTCTTCTGGGGGAGTGAGGGGCAAATTTCTCTCGGGCCCCTTCCCAAGCGGGGTGAACGGATGGCATGTGAAGGGACTAGAGACTGAAGAGAACACGCTGACGGCTGTGAGGGGAGGAGGCTACTCGGGGCTGCTCCGGCGGCCGGTCGGGGGCTCTAGGGAGGAGGTGCCCGAGAAGCTAGCGCCTTAACACCCAGGCTGGGCCAGAGGGGAGAGCACCCTGAAAAAGTGAAGGGGGCGGGCAGCTCGGCCACAGCTAACGGAGGTGCCCTGAGGAGAAACACGCGCAGCCACATCCGTGCGCGAGGACCAGCCCACGTTTCCCTCGGGAGGCGAGAACCAGGGAGCCAGGCTCACAAATAGCAGTAGCTGGGGATGAGGGCCCGGCGGGGGGCGGGCCCACGGGCGTCCAGCCCTCCCTGAGGCCAATGAGCGCCTCCAGACACCGCGCCCAATCAGCCAGGACGGAGGGCGCGGCTTTTGACTGGGCCGGGGCGCTGGGCGTGAGCCCGCGACCCTTCCGGACCCGAGAGCCCTGCGTCCCCGCCCACCGCCAATCACGTGAGTCGCCAAGATGGCGGCGCTTGGACGTGAGGCCGGAGAGGACGTGCGGGTTGCCGGTGTGGTGCCGGTGGGAGCTGCGGAAGTGCCTAAGGTAGGCGGAAACCCAGGGTGCTGAGGCCCGTGAGCTCTGCTACCTCAAGTGCTGGCGCACTCTTCTGAAGTGATACGCGCAAAAGGGATCTGAAAGTTTATAAGCAGGGCAGTTCCCAACTCCATGCAAGGCACGTTTACATCCCCAGTTGCTGTGAAAAGAGGTGGGGATAAAGTAGGAGACCTAAACTTTAGTCCTGAATAATGGAGCCTGTTTTTTCTTGCCTCGGGGCCTTTGTACTTTAAACCCCCTGCCATTCTATCCTGATTTCTGCCCAGGTTGTAGGTTCTGAGGACAAGACTACATCTTGCTTAACTGGGGGACTTTCAAATACCAGGTGAATGTTTGAGTAAATGATGAATGACTGATGAATAAAATTCTCAAAGTCAAGTGCTATCAGGGAAGCAAGCTTTTAATAGACATTAAAAGTCAAGCTTTTAATATACTTAAAAGCACTACAAAACCATAAGATACTTTGAAAGTTATAAACCTGCCCGATGCAGTATTACTGGTGTAATTGAATCGTGGTGACCAGTTGAGTGGCCTTGAACTGGTTACTTTTTAGATGAAATGTGAGTTAGAGCAAAATCTGTACATTTCAGTACATGTAAAAATTGTCAGGAAGTTATCAGCATATTTCTCTGCTTTTATAACAGTGCCTTAGGAAAATTAGGTATGCAGTAAACATTTGCTGTCCTATTTTAGGATGATAATTCTGGATGTTTGTCTTTACTATATACTAAGGTGTAGACGAGATAGGAAGTTGGTACACGGCATTGCCTGCAAGTTTTCTTTGTGAGTAATAACGGACTTCAGTGAATTGGATGACAGGGAAACAAAAAGTTTTCTCAAGTTTCTGGTTAATTATCATGTTACTGACATCTGCCTTCATGTACATTAGATGGATTATAGAATCGCCCTTCTATATTGCTATCTTGTTTCTTCCATTTGCCATTTAGATGTCAGAGAGAGGCAAAAGATTACATCTAGTTTGTGAGAAATTGGAATTTATAAAATATTTTACTTTTTTTTTTTCCTGTCTTCCCAGATATTTTAAAGAAAAAGAACTGGCTTGATTATAGTTCTTCACTGATAGGGAAAGAAACTGGTCCACTATTACTCTTTGTTTAATACCATACAAATATTCAAGAGAGCCCCCACCTTCACGATGTTGATTGTTGTTGTTCAGTGGTCAAGTCATGTCAGACTCTTTGTGACCCCATGGATTGCAGCACGCCAGGCCTCCCTGTCCCTCACCATCTCCCAGTTTGCCCAAGTTCATGTCCATTGAATCAGTGGTGCCATCCAACCATCTCATCCAGTCGCCCTCAGTATGTTGATACAATGTTTGAATCGACCTTTTATTAGTTAGGTTAGGGTTGGTACATATCACTATTCAGGAAATGAGTATTACAGTTATGTTCAACATGTGTCCATTTGACTACCAGCATCAGAATCACTGGTGCAGATTTCTAGACTTTACTCCTGCTGAACCTAAATATTTCAATAGGGAGCTCAAGAGCCTGCATTTCAAGTACACTGCTCAGGTGATTCTTGTGCACACGAAAGGCTTAAAATCTTACTAAGTCTCTTCTATGTCCTTTATGTTTAATCCGCTCTGATTCTCTTGCCCAGGACTCCTGAAAGTTGAGACTTATGAGTCTGCCCTTGACCACAAATAATGTTAACATAGGGATTCATATAAATTGTGAAGGACTAGATTTTTTTAATCTATTCACTAGCTAATCTGGAATCCCATAATGCCAATATGCCAAATGATGTAACAAATACTATTAAGACTTTTCACAAAAATCTGAGAGTCTTACCCAGAGCAAAACATTTAGAAAGGATCCTTTCTGAAAGCCTAGTTTTGTTTTGTATTTAACCACTGGTTCCTGTTAAGATGGCTTCCCTGATAGCTCAGTTGGTAAAGAAGCTGCCTGCAATGCAGGAGACCCCGGTTCGATCCCTAGGTTGGGAAGGTCTGCTGGAGAAGGGACAGGCTACCCACTCCAGTATTCTTGGGCTTCTCTGGTGGCTCAGACAGTAAAGAATCCACCTGCAATGCAAGAGACCTGGGTTTGATCCCTGGGTTGGGAAGATCCCCTGGAGGAAGGCATGGCAACCCACTCCAGTATTCTTGCCTGGAGAATTCCATGGACTGTATAGTTCATGGGGTCGCAGAGAGTCAGACATGACTGAGCCATACGACTGAGCAACTTTCACCTTCTGTTAAGATGCTACTGGGCAAACCTCATGGTCCCTCGATATTAGCAACTGTCTATTTAAGTATCACACTTGGGAGACAGGAACTTTCCAACCTTGGAGTCTAGTGCCTGAGGACCAGGCCTTCTGATATTACCATAGAGCAGATTCCAGCAAAGGCCCTACTTCCGCCCCAGGTGCTCCTCACAAGCTAGATATATAACTTACATAATCCAATCAGCCATCCACTGCCTCTTCCTAGTCTGGAAGGTGTCCCTCCTCCTGATGTTCTCTCTCGCTGGTCTCCAAGGAAATTCCTGCTTCTACCTCTCCAGCAAACCCAGCATAATCTCCAAAACTCGGGCTTTCATGAGACAGAGGATAAAAATAGTTGTCAACAGGTAGCTGCTGTTTACTTTCAGCTCTGAAAAAGTTACAGTATGAAGAACTACAACGGGCCTGGCTACCTTCAGGGAAAACGGTAAGGAAAACAAACATACCTGAGTAACTTAATCCTTCTACATCAAGTCCTAAGCCAAGTCAACCTCTCTGAACCTTGTTTATCTCACTCATGAAAGTAGAGATGACCATTTTCCTACCAATTTCTCAAAGTTATTACGTGAATCAAAAAGCCATTGTCTTAACAGATAAGAGCCCACTAAACAATGTTAATCCTCATTAACACAGGATGTGAAAGCAGATGACAGTACTTGATACTTTACTAGGGTCTAAATGTTTTTTAACCTGAATCTGTAGAATTTATAAGATTTAATATTAACATCATAGCTATTGTGGTTCTGAATTTTGTGTTTTCCAGGACATCAAGATACCAACATACACACATGGTGAGTCCAGGCCTTCTCTAGGAGATGCAAAACTCAGAAAACCAGTGGTCATTGAAATCATAGAAAAAAAAATTGAATGCCTTAGAAAAGAAAAGTAAGAGACACACCCAGACTGAAAGTCAATAAATTTATTTGTATATCTTAAGTATTGCCATGGCTTCTAGGTATCTAAGAGCCTATTAACTGTATTGAGTTGGTTACGAAGAAAGTTTTTTTTAAAAAGAACTGGAGGGAAACATGAGGAGATGAAAACAGAGGTTTTTTAGAATACTGAAACTGGATAATTTGTTTTGTTTCTTGAAATTCCTTTATTTCTAAAATTGTTGAAATGTTATCTGTGCAATAAGCAATTGTAATTAAAGGTAATCAAGAGAACACCATTTTGAGGACTACTTATATTAATTGATTATCTATTATAATTAAATTCAGTTTAGAATTTCTTACCTCAGCCACACTGCTGAGCTCAGCAAAAAGGAATACAGGATTCCATGATGTACATATAGTTTCACATTACCATTCTGACTTTTAGATTAATAGAGCTCAAGAATAAAATCAGTTGATGTTAATCTGAATTGTTCAACATTTCTGGATTTAGGTATGAGTCAGAATAAGCAAAACTAGATCTTTCAAATTTCTTTGAAGTTTTGGAAATACTTTAAATGTATCTCTACTACTTAAGAAATAGTTATTTTCTAGAAGGCCTAACCAAATGTCAACAACTTTTTTCTGATGATCTTAAGCAAATTAATTCTTATAGTAGAAAGAACAGTATTCTTGGATTTAGCTAGCTCATAAAATTTGGCTACATTGGAACAAACTCATACTTATTTTTGGCCAAAATTTATTTTCTCTTTAAAAGAGCTCCATCTTAGAACCACTCTAGTCTCAGAAAGAGAATTATATTATCCTCTCATTAGAATGCAATTTCCATGAGGGGTGGAATTTTTTTCTTTTTTCCCGGCTTTATTCACTGCTTCATCCTTAGCATAAAGAAAATACCCTTTCACAGAGTAAATACTTAAGTAAAATGTGATGTTGCATAAATATGTAATAACAAATGACTACACAAGAAAGGATATATCTGTTAGAAGAGTATTATGTTGAACTTAACTTTCACTGTTTTTCCAATTAGGACTTTAAATATATATGGAACACTGACTTTTGGAACAACAGCTGCTTTCTCTGGCATGTTGACAAATTTCATTTTCAGACATCGCTTCAAGGTCACACATGATGTTTTGAAGACATATGCATCATTGACTGCACTTCCATTTTTGTCTACCATAGTTTCTTACAAGCTTCTTGTAACAGATGCTTTGTATTCAGGTAATTTTAAATTCATTAGCATAGCATGTGTTTATATCTAAGTAAAAGTACTCGTTAACATATACTGTTGCTACTGCTGATAATAATCCATTGCATGTGTATATTACTTTACAAAAGTACCTTCACGTATATTGTCCTGTTTAAACCCCACAACAGTCTTCCTAATCAGACAGGGAAAATAGTGTTGTGGCTTTTTTTTTTAACAAGTAAGATACTAAGCTGAGACATGTTCAGGTACACCAAGCAACATAGTATACTAGAAAAAAAGCAGGCTTTGGTATACTACATATTTCACTTAAGTTTTGTGACTCTGGGCAAGTCATTTAAGAGACTTGCTTGTTTTAAGAGACTCAGTTGTTTTACATCTATGAATTAGGACTAACAGTACTTACCTCAGGATTGTTCTAAAAATGAAGATAGTGTACGCTGAATGCCTGGCACAGGATCTGGTATATTATGGGCTTCCTGGTATATTATGTTACTTCCTACATCCTCCCTATGCTTGAAGTGTCACAGCTAGTAATTGATGGAACCCGTGATCCCTGTTCATCAGCTGCCTGCTTAAATGCCTCATCTCCAGGGAATTCTCTGATTCCCTCAGGTTAGGTTAAGTTTCTCCATACATTCTCTATTCATTTTACCTTCAAAGCATGTGCACGTTTAAGATATGTGTTTAAATATTTGTCTAATGCATTTCTTTCTTAGTAGACTTGACCTGAAGATCAGTGGTTGGGTCTCTTGTGTTACACTGTATCCCTAGCACATGACTGACATATAGACCATATAAATGTACTAATCTGGAATCTAGGTATCTGGTCTGCTAGTTTAATATTCTTCATTATGAAATTGCTTCTGCACCAGCTGTATAAGTAAGAGGTAAACTTATCCTTATATAAAGTGTAATAAAAACATTTTAAAAATTTAATACATTCAGTGTATTGTGCCATACACTGAATTTCTAGCATTCTTTCAACTATTTCGCTGTGGTTGAGGACAATGCAAATAACTACAATATAAGAACCCAAGACTCTTAATAGCCAAATTTACTTTTGATTTCCAGGTAATATAAGCCAGGAAAATTGTGTTCTTAGGAGCTCACTGATCGGCATAGCATGTGGCGTTTTATGTCCCACTGCTTTGGCTTTTTCTCAAAATGGACGTCTGGCGTTCAAGTAAGTCCACGTTCTTGTTCCTTCTCTTCCATCTCCTCCTCCCTTCCCTACTTCCTTTTTTTTTAATGTTAATAAATTCTCCTTATTCTTTAGCTGCCAATGACACATTTTAATTAAAATATGGTTTCATATTTCAAATAGCTAATTTTAACCCTTTTTGCTTTCTACATGGGAAATCTACAACAGAAATGATCAGTTTAGGAGAAATCAACAAATGTTCCATAGAATTTACATCCAGATGAAGTCCTTAACTCTTTTTCCTTTTTAGGTATCATACTGTTCCCCTGCCACCAAAAGGAAGGGTTTTACTTTATTCGCTACTGCTTTGTCATTCAGAGATAAAAGCAATGGTGATCCCTCTCATCCTTCAGACAACCTTTGGAATATTTCATGGTCTGCAGCACTATGCAATATTTGAAAGTACACTTGAGAAAACCGTACATGAAGATTAACCAAAGAATGAATGGACACTAAATCAACTGAATGAACTTTTTTATAAGGACTCAGGCATTGCTAAAAGAGTTAAAAAATAGTTCTGGATAGACAGATTGTCTCTTTTCCTTTTGCTCAGTATACAGCAGGTGTTCAATAAATATTCAGTAAATAAATGTATGTTTTGTCTCTCTTTCGTTATTATATGTGGAAATGGGCTTGAAGCCCCAAGGTCTAATCTATACATTTATATATTTATTCATTCATAAACATTTATTGAGCACCTGCTAGGTCTCAGACCTTGTGTTACTTTTAATAAGAAATGGTCCTTACCCAGAAGAAACTCACAATTAGAAATGTGTAAACACAGCATGAGAGGGTTTGAGAGGTATACATGTAATTCTGTGAGCATACTGAGGATGTAGCTGTTAAATACTTGTGCAGAGGGAAAGCTATGGGGAAATGTGACATTTTCCTAAATTTTGAAGGGAAAGTTGAAAGTTCACAAGAAATCAATATAGAAATAACGTAACAACCCATTCCTCTAAACTCTTAATTCAGTATACTTAGTAGCTCTTAATCATTAACAAATTATCTTCACTATGCTATTTAAAGAACATTTATTGGGACTTCCGGGATGGTCTAGGGACTTTTAAGACTCCATGCTCCCAGTGCAAAGAGCCTGGGTTTGATCCCTGGTCAGGGAACTAGATCCCACATGCTGGAACTTAAATAGTTCACATGCCATAACTAGAGATCCCACTTCCCCCAATGAAGATTAAAGATCCTATATGCTGCAACTAAGCCCCAGCACAGCCAAATAAATATTTTTGAAAGAAAGAACATTTATTGAGTACCTATTTGCTATTAATTAATACAGGTACCAGACAAAGATTCAGTCCTTGCCCTCAAGAAAATTAATCTAAAGAAGGAGGTCACAGCATGCTTCTAAGTCTGCTACAGCACTCCTGAGCTACACATTAATTAAGGAAACCTAGTGCCAGAAATGAACACTGATGAAAACAATAAGACATGCAATGGAATCTCACAGCTTATTCTCTATCTTAATCATGTTCATCTGGAGATTTAAGGATTTGGTCATCTGAGGCCCCAAGCAACCTAGAGCAGAAATGAAAATCTTAACAAGGCACTTAATAGCATCAAATATAACAATCTAGAACACATACACTCCTGCTAATTAAAAAAAAAAAAAAACGGTAGTAAGTTATTCAGCTCTATTCTCAGAATAATTCATGATGCCTAAAACAGGAAAAGGCAGTTGAAAGGAGGGAGAGAGGGAACAAAGTCAAGTAGATAACTAGATCAATGGTATTACTATTAACTCTTAAAAATTAATAAGCAACAAGTACATGAAAACCTCATTGTGAGGTATTCAAATGATCCAGAAGAATAAAAAGTGAGACATGAAAGTCCCCTTTCACACCCACTCCACCCTATTTCTACTCTGTTCTCCAGAGGTAACTACTAAGTTAGCAGTCTCTTTCCTTATAGTCGTCTTTTGTAATTTACATATTTTTTAGTAAATGGTATTATCCATACATATTATATTGGAAATTAATTTTCCCTTCACTGTATATCTTGGAGATCTTTCCAACTCATTTCATATAGGTCTAATATGTTCTTTTTTAGTGACTAAAAAACATTCTTAGTGATTCCAGTATTCACATAGGTGACCCTTTCAACACCTTGGTCTATCATACCACTTATTCCCATGGTCATATTCTAGACCTGTGCCATCCAATATATAATAGCCATTAGTCTTTGTAGCTGCTGAGCATTTGAAATGTGACTGGTCTAAATTGAGATATGTTGTAAAATATACATTAGGTTTTAAAAATTTACTATGTAAAAGAATGTACATGTTGAAATGTTACTCTTTGGGGTATACTGGGTTAAATAAATAAAATACATTAAAATTGATTTTATCTGCTTTTTTTAATCTGGCTACTAGGAAATTCTAAGTTGTATACACATGTGCATGCTAGATCACTTCAGTTATGTCTGACTCTTTGCAACCCCATGGACTGTAGGCCGCCAAGCTCCTCTGTCCATGGGATTCTCCAAGCAAGAATACTGGAGTGGGTTGCCATGCCTTCCTCCAAGGGATCTTCCCGACCCAGGCATCAAAGCCACATCTCTTAAGTCTCCTGCATTGGCAGGCGGGGTCTTTACCAGTAGTGCCATCTGGGAAGTATTACATAACATGGCACGTATTTTTATCAAATTATGTTTCTCTAGCCCTTATCATTATCAGTAAACTCAAATTCTTCACATTCTCAGTTATAAAACTCCATATTCTGATCACTGCCTCCTGTCCTTCCCATTTTTTCCTTCTCACACCACATGACTTCGGCTTTACCAGAATCTATAATCCATCAAACCCACTACCTTTTCACTGTCTCACACCCCTCTCACATCCTGACTGTCCCTCTCCAGTTTCAGCTACATCAATCTGTTTTCCAATCTTGAGGAAAACAGAAAAACAAATCTTGCCAACTTTGATTATGAAATAAAGGTACTGGCCTCTTTGTTTTCTTTTGTGAATTTTCTTTTCATGCCCTTGACCCATTTGATTTATAAATCAAATAAATTCTCTATAAATTCTGGGTATTTTGCTGCTTCATGTGCTGAGATAGTAATCTGAGAAATAGCAAGACTGACTTATATGTTCACTTCCCTTGCCAACTGAAAGCAGAAGATATTTGTCCCTTACTCCATGACTTCAATTTGCCTTTTATGCAGTAGAAAAGGTAGGGAAGTGTGTCAATATTTTCCTTTGGCTTTGGAAAGCAGTACTTGTCAAAGTGGCTGTAAGGCCATAAAGGGGAATTAGGGAAATCTTGATCTTAGCCTGAGCCCAAAGGTAAAAGTAGGTGAACCACAGTGAAGAAAGGCAGCAAGTCTCTAGATGGAGCTCCGTTCTCAAAGTTCAGATCCTGGCCTTACTATGCACCAATGGGATGACTCTGAATAAACTATTTTGAATAAACTCTGCACCTCAGTTTCCTCATCTGTAAAATGAGAAATAAAGACTACTTACCTCATAGTGTTGTCAGGACTAAATGAGTTAATATATGAAAATCAAAACTGTGGCCAGCTCACAGGATGTTACTGCCATCACTGGTGGTGTTACTGCCATCACTGGTGTTGCTACCGCCATCACCGCACACCAACTAATACAGTTCTTTCCCTAGCCCATAGTTCTCAGTTTACCATTTTTCTAGGAAATATTAGAAGCACAGCAAAGAAAATTTATAACTTTCATTTGAATACACATTCATTTATTTGGCTAATATTAAGATGTAGTATATGAAAAACATTGTATACCATATGTTGGGCAATTTACCTAAACTTTCTGACTGCTTTGCAGTAAGGTTATCAAAATGGAACCACACCATACCTGGCCTATAGAAGGTGCTCAATAAATGTGTTTACATTTGCCTGTTTTCCCTGATATTTTCTCTGAGTCATAAAACGATGACTAAGATATGGTCCCAACTATAACCTCTTACATTCTCTCTTGGATTTTTCCCCTCCATTTCCTCCAATTAGCCACGTGATTATCCTATTTTGTGTTTGCTGTATTGCATGGTATTGCTTGCAGGGTATTGTATAATACTGATTTTCTTCCTGCTTTTGAACAATTATATTGGCATGTATAAACTATTGAGCATTTTAATTTCTAAGCTATAATTGAAGCCAAGGAAGCGATAAAAAACAATGTTTGAAATAGTAATGGCCAAAACTTTCCAAATTTGGTAAAATCTATAAAACCACAGATTCGATGATTTCTAGATCAAAATGGTGACACAACAGGCCCCTAAACTCATCTCCCCCCATAAACACACTGAATCTATAGCTACAGAGAAAATCCCTCTGAAAGAAATCTAGTGGCCAATAAACACATGAAAAGATGTTCAACATCACTTATTACAGAAATTCAAATCAAAACTACAATGAGGTATCAGCTCACACCACTCTGAACAGCCATTATCAAAAATCTACAAACAATAAATGCTGTAGAGAGTGTGAAGAAAAGGGAACCCTCATACACTGTTAGTGGGAAGGTAAACTGGTACACCCACTATGGAGAACAGTATGGAACTGATCTCAAAAAACTAAAACTAGAACTAGCGTATGACCCAGCAATCCCACTCTGGGCATATACCCAGAGAAAACCATAATTCAAGATACGTGCACCCCAATATGCACCCCAGTACACTTTACAATAGCCAGGACATGGAAGCAACCAAGATGTCCATCAACAGAGGAAGGGGTAAAGGAGACGCTGCACACAGACACAATGGTGTATTCGTCACAAAAAGAAACTGCAGTTTGCGGAGAACCTGGATAGACCTAGACTGTCATACACAGTGAAGGAAGTTAGAGAAAAACAAATATCATTTATTAGTGCTTATATGAGGAATCTAGAAACATGGTAGACACGAACGTATCTGCCCAGCAGAAACAGTGACAAAGATGTAGAGAACAAACTTATGGATACCAACGCAGAAGGAGGGTGAGATGAACTGGGAGATCGGGACTGACATACAGACACTAGTGTGTATAAAACAGGTAACTAATGAGAACCTGCTCTACACCACAGAGAACTCTACTCACTGCTCTGCGGCAACCTAAATGGGAAGGAAATCTAAAAAAGCGGATATATGTATACGTATACCTGATTCCCGAGCAGAAACACAACATTGCAAAGCAGCTACAGACAATAAAAATTTTGAAAAAAGAAATCTAGAAAACTAGCTGAGCAATTCCTACATATTAGGCAAACAAGAAAATGTACACAACAAAATATGTAGGAAAGGCTGAGAAACAGTCTTGCCATAAGCCCCACTGCCAAATGAATGACACGCTGTCAGGGGAAACTTGAAAATCCCAGTTCCTTCCTGAGGAGAGAAGGATTTGGACCCAACACCTAGTGTCTCAACATTTGAATTCCACCTGAAAGGACTTGTAAAATGACTAAACCTGTTTGATTTTC